AAAAGCATCATATTTATACTACACATACCTACTGCAGAATTACAACACGAACATAGGTTGACTGCAACACTGCATAACCTGTTCAGTCCTTGCAAGTCAGCGCAAATGTGTTTCAGTTAAATCTTTGCACTCTATAATGTCCTTTTTTCCACAAGATATTTAACTTAATATTTTTTTTACAAAATACAGGTCAACTGAGAAGCAAACCCAAAGGTGTTTCACAGTACTTATTGAACGTATTAAGATGTATTGAAATTCAGCAGCTAAAGCCGCCAGCAAAGGAACTGAAGAGGCAGAGAGGAAGCACCACACAACTTTTCAGTTGTGAAGGAGTGAAAAAAATATTGTACCCAACTAAAACTCCACAGAGCATTCTGAGCACTAGAGTATGTTTTCCCAGTAAGTTTTGGTGAAGATTTTTAGTTCTCCTCACCCTGTCTTTTTTTTTTTTTAATTAGATAAAAAACCACCTTCAAAACCAAACCCCGAATGTTTCTAACCGCATCTAAAGATGAACCACACACCAAGCAAAAGTCCTTGTTAAGTGCTAACAATAGGTCCCAAATTACCTGCAGCATGGACTACTAGTCCCAGCGTCGTGGTGATTTTGGAGTTGCCTGATCTTGCAGCTTCTGGATCTGAAACAGTCATGAGGACAGTTAGGATAAAGAGGATAAATTATATTAAATTTACTGCAAAACAGTCTGCTACTCAGCACTTCCAAATCACCTGAAGTTCTGCCAACATGTGATACAATCGCACACAACATTTTGTGACTTACAGGATCATTGATAGAGGCAGAAGTAATTGCTTTTCCTAACCTCCTGAAACCAAATGTTAAAGTTCTATGCTACCAAGAGGAAGAAAACCTAATTTTGCATCCTCAGGATCCAGAACTGCTCCCAGAGTCAGGATGATTTTTTCCTCATGCAGCCCAGTGTTGCATTTTGCTACAGGTGACAGTCTGAGGCAGTCTCTGTTACACTGATTCTCTGACAATTCCTAGTAAAGCAACAAATTCTATTTGTCATGGCAGCAGTTGCAAAGATTTCCCTCCAGGGAGAGAAAAAATGCAGCCGGTGCTGCCAGAGATCCAGTAATTTGGTTGCAATTATTCGAGAACTACTCGGAAGACAGGTTAGCTCGTTATGCAGCACAACAGGGTGATATCCACCACATGGTGAAACTGCTGCAAAGTGGTGAAACTTGGTGCCAAGAATCACCGCAGTGGACAGGGTAGATAAATCCTATACAAGTACAGAAACATCTTACTTGACTGTTTAATTCCAAACAGGTGAGCTGACATTATTTAATTATACTTGTGGTCAGTAAGCTGACTGCAAGCACACTTACACAGGTACTATAGTAAGTCTGCACTGCCACCAAAACGGAGAGCCCAGCCCTGTTCCTTTCCTACTGCACGTCCTCCCGCGCTCCAGTTGCTCTTTGTGCGCAGGCACCCATGTAGCTGCCCAGGGAGTTCAGACCAGGGAAGTGAGCTGACTGAACAAGTAATACCTTCTCTTTGGTCAGATTGATCCATCGAACCAAGGATAGCCTATTTGAGCAATTAATTGCATAAGCTACATTTGGATGACTGCAATGGTATACTCATGTCAAATAGGAGGAGATATTCACAAGGAACATTTTTTTAAAATTTGTTTTGGATTCACCAGAATTAAACACACTCAAAGGGTCACATTTAATTTCATATCTCCATTCTGGCCTACAAATGTTTTTCTAGTTTAGACACTAAAATCTAGCTGCTTGGGAGATAACAAAACTACCAGAATTGGTTCAAATGAAAAAAATTATTTTCTTCAGTAGCTTTAAAAAAAACATTACAAAACCACTATGACAGATCCTGTGACAGAGGTATAGGCAAAACTTTACTTAATATCCTTTCTAGAGTGTTTTCCTCTAACAGAGATCAGTGAACTTTCTCCTGGTATTTGATCTGAGAGGCACAGGACATAGGAAAGGGTCATAATGTGTAGAAATGAAGGATCCTCCCGGTAGCTGCTCACCTGCATCCCTTTGCCATCCTCAGTGCCACTGTTCCCTTTGAAAAGCTGTGACAATGGGCTAGCCATGGCTGCGGCTCCATGTATGCTTCTCCTTGAGCACAAGGTGACAGAGCTCCCACACTGGCCTCCCATCTGTCCCACCGCACCAAACCCACACAAGCACTGGCGCAGCTGCACCGCAACCTGCCAAGAATCCCAGCAAAACGTATCCCCCCCTTCTTTGTGTTCGGGTTTCACTTTTCCTTCAAGATCAATTCCTTAATTTTTGAGGGCCAAATTCCATCAGAGTAGATTATGTGAAGTATTAGATTATGCATTAAGTATTTCGAAGTAAGTGAGGCTCCAGTGTGGGAGTCCAGCTGTGCAGCTAAACGACCAAAGCTTACATCAAATTATTTCTGCAGTCTTCCTTAAGAGAAACTCTTGCTGTTTACAAGTGTTACCTACATGTACGACAATTAAGTAGGAAAAACAAATGAAGATAAGACTAACCTGAAGTTTTTTGGAAAGCCAAAGAAATCCCCTATGGGTGCTACTGTAAAACAGACAATAACTCAAGCATCAAGTCACCCTCCACCCCCACACCATACATGCTCATACAGTAAGTTCACATCAGCAAAGCAAGCTCTCAAGTTATGCTGAATTCCAGGACAGATTTCCAGTACAAGCATTTCAGAAAGACCTCACTTTCGTATTTGTAAAGCACCTACTGAAACGCTGGATGTGACTGGTCAAATTAAATCCCAGTAGCATTCAAAAAAAATATTTACAACTAGCTGGTTCAAGACTAATTAGCAAGTCCAACTGAAGTGAATCTTTACTTACCATCTGTAGAGTGCACATGCGAGCTGCCTATCTGATCCACCAAGAGCATGAAGACAAAGCCGAGGACAAGGGACACGCCAATGTAGGCATGCAACCGGGAATGGTCGTGGCCATACTCGTGTTCAGCCGCGATTTCCACTACTTTCTCAGACTCAACCACATGCTGCATCTCATTTGCCGGGTGATGCTTCCCTGTCACAGGCAAGGAAAGCAGTTAAGAGACTAAACATGGCATGGTCACTTTTCTCCTCCTTTGCCAAAAGCATTCCTCATGCTTTCTCAGACAACACACAAAAGTCCTTGTTTAAGGTCTTTCTTAAACCATTTTTTTTAAGGAAAGCACCCATTTGACCAATTAGCCACTCCTCATGCACCTTTAGCATGGGAAAAAAAAAAAAAAAAAGAAAGCATTAATACTTGATAAGCCAGGCTACTTTAAATGCTGCATTTTAAATACAAATTGGCTGATAAGAACTGCTGAATAATTCCTTTTCTAACTGAAGTTGCTAATTTTGTCAGTATTCAGAGCTACTGCCAAGCAGTTAAGTCACAGTCTCCACAGAAGTGAGAAAATAAAGGATGAGGAGATAAAATAGGTTCTGTCTGTTAAGAGATCTAATGTAATCTTTAAGAATATTAGCTTTTAACTTCAAAGTATCAGTCTCTAGTTAAATATGTTAGTATCAATACATTCCATTGATATTGACCAGAAAGCAATTAAGTCAGCACACAGTCTTTCAAGTGTCAGCACCATTCTAGAAACTCAAACTCCAAACCCAGAGTTGAATGTTGTGTTGTCATTTCCTTTACCTACACAAGCTTTACTTCCATGCCTTCCTCCCAGATACTTGGTTTGTCTCACTGAACTACTCTGAAACTACATGAGCTCCAAATGACTCTAAAATTTATGAAGGGGAATGAAGATGGATGGACAAGTTTTTAATTATGTTCTTAGGGTACAAAATGTTTATTTGGTGCCCAGGTTATAATTTAAAAACATTTTCAAATATTTCACGGGTTAGTAACAGTGACAACTATCTCTACCCACGATGACTTTTAGAAAGCAGACATGTAATAGAACTTTACCACCTTCTACAGGTTGACATTTGCCCAGCACGTGTGACCTTTTATCACACGCAAATACCATACACAAAATTGACACCAATTTCAAGAGAAATGACATCACTCTCAAGCTGAATTTACATAGGCTTAAACAGAAAGGAGAAGGTTTTTCTGCTCGATGCATTTAATATTTCCAGTAGTCTTTGGCCTAGTGGCTTCCAAGATAGATCCAAAAGATCTTCTCATCTTGTTCTTGACCACTGTACCTTATTGCTTATGCAATCCCATCTGACACAGACAGCAACGTCCAGAAGTACATAGCTTTTTCAGCACTGGCCAGCAAAGATTGACAGGACTTACCTTAGTACATTTATGTGAGAGATTTTTTTTAAAAAAACAATTTTTTAAGCAAAATTCTAGGTATTGTTTCCAGCAGATATAAGCACACCTAAGTCTTTTTCTGCCAACAGCATACAGAAACATATTGTTAGAAAGGTACAGGGAACAGGGAATTTTGAATTAAGTTCCCAACTACCATACTGAGCACAGAAAACATTTTATCTCTTGGTTTCAGATTGTGCAATTCAGTACAACTGAATTGTTCTGCTTGAATCAAGGCAAGGATATTCTTTTCTGAATGGATTATAATCATTACAGTTCAACACAATCTCTCTCCTGTTTCAACCTTGCATGTTTAAAGTTCTCTCTAGATTTTTTTTTTTTTTTAAAGTGACTGACAGTGCAACTGTCATGCAACTATAAAAAAAGCAACAAACAAAATGGAGCACGGCATACGTTATGGCTTTTCCAATACCTGTGGTTCAAGTGTCAAAAATAAAAATTTTATCATTTCGAGGACACTTTTGGTTTCCAACTACTTTTCAGAAATGTTAAACATTAACAGAAAAAAATTGACTTTAGCAAGTCATCCTCTTGCTGGAGTAGTCATACATCTTCTTGGACAAGACACCAGGGTACATCCAGCCCATCACACAAAATGTTGGTGTACTGCCATTATTACAGACAAAACACATCAGAATAGGCTTTGTAGCCCTCCAAACATTTCACAAGCATATCTTTGCTGAACAAGATCAATCAATAAGATAACTTTAGACCACACAAGACTGTTGCCAACTATATTAAAAAGTTAGCATTGCTTCAGGTCATTTTAAGCCATAAAATCCAGTGGGCAACTCAGCAATCTTTCCAAAAGCAGTTATGCAGTTTCATGAAATGAAGTTAAAATGAAGGACTGAAGTCACCAAAGAATTTTTTTTTTGCTGGTAATACTCAAACCAAGGTTTCACCACACAAATACACAGGTTTCTGACCAAATAATAATCAGAATCGTGATATGTTATCAGCTTACAAGGTCAAAAATTTAAAACTTATTTATTCTGTGGCCTATGCAGAAGTAATAGCAAGTGACTTTTGTAGCAACAACAAACACCTGGTTTGCTAACAAGCTACCAGTCTCAGCTAAATTTTACTTGCAACTGGAAAAACGAGGACCTCCTTTTTTTTTTTTTCCAGTTATATGACTATACCTCAATGCTCCCTTAGGCATCTTCCTAGGTTGAATTATGTAAATGGCTATATTTGCAAAACAAACAAAAAAAAAACCGCACTGAAAGCTGTTAAATTTTCAGAATTTTAATTGTAAGAAAAATAATAGAAATATCTTTTGTAGTTTAATCTGTAATACCCATGAATTTAGCCTCTTTGCAATACAAAAAAAGTCTTTACAGACAGACTAGCTATAGAAATGATACTGTGAGTTCGGAATTGAGACTGAATTAATTCACAGAGTAAACTCTTTTTTCCTAAGTAAGTATTTCTGACTTTCCTACTGCAGTAATGGGAAGTGCCTTTTTTTCCCCCTCATGCTTAACTTGAAGTTATAGAACATATAGCTCTAAACAGCAGGCTGTAGATTTCACATGAGAATAGTATGCCTTGTTTAGTGGAAAAAAAAGTAGGGATTCACACCAATTGTATTTACTGCTAGCCATAACATTACAAGAAAAATTTAGTCTGCTTAGAATTAAAATTCAATGGAGAACAAATCCACAACTACAGCTCATTAGAGACATCCTACATTAGAGTGCACAAATTACAGTACAGTATAAAGGCATAATCAGAGGTCCTTTCACTTCCTGATAAAGGGTGATTTTATATCTTATCTTCTGTTTACTTTAAATCTAAGCAGAACAACATAAACTCAGTGGAAATGAAAACAGGATAATTTAAAGCATATTGCTAAAAAAAGAAATTCAAAACAGTGTAGAAATGAGAAAAAACAGTAGTACAAGAAAAGCAGAATATTAAAATTCTCAGATTAGCAACATCTCTTAATACCCAATTAGCATCAGATGCTTACAAAGTTCTCTACAGCCTCAACATTATAGTCCTTTCTCCTGTGACCACTAAGTTGTTGCCATTTACCTTCAGACAAATTTCAGATTCTGAGCACACGGGAAGAATCTCATATATGCAACGGTAACGTAACAGCACAAGACTCCAAGCTAAAGCAAGATTTGAAGTGCACTCCAAACGGATAATGAGCCCTGACTATTTGAAATAATACCACAACTTCAAATTGAGGTTTTCTGAGCCTGCTGGGTACCAGATGTGCTCCACATTCAGGTCCCTATGAGACACATAGGGGCTGTTAGCTTTGAGCTATGCATTAGAGCTACAAGGTTCTGAAGACTGGCAACACCAGACTAGAGGTAGATGCTTGAACTTGGAAGCACCTGCAGATATCTACTTGTAAAAAGACAGTATCACCCTAAAAGAAATGCCTCCTACTCTTGTGAACTAGCCTCAGCCAAGCGTATTAAGGTCGCTTAATTCCAAGACACTCTTCATCTTTAAATGGGGAAATTCTTATGAGGGCAAGTACGTATAGATCTATAAAACAATTCTTGCTATTGCTTTAATAAGAAGCAATCTGAACTACAAAAAGCAACAACAAATAGTCCACAATTCCATTCTCTGCCAAAGGCATCCTTACATGTCCTTTGAAGTTCCATTGGAAGTTAAACTTTAACTCTCCCCAGAACAAGGAACACTACACAGGACCTCGCATGAAAGGCTGTAGTTCCATGAACAGAACAGTACCTGGACGCAGCAATGACTGAATCACTCAGCACTAGCCATCAATTCACATCCTGTCAAATCACCACAAACACACAATACCACGCCTGGGGGTTTTGTGACGCTACACCAGCTTTGTGTCACGCTGCTGGGAAACCCTTCCACCAAGCTCATGTTAAAAGCCCTAGAAGCAAGCTCCAGTATAACACCATGACCAAAGTTATGTTGAACAAGGCCATCTGAGTTTGGTTCTTACCCTCCAAAATCTCTTCATAAAGTGCATGTACTCCTTCTGGCACAATGACGGCCAAGGCAGTTCCACACAGCAGCCCAGCACCCAGAACAGTCACCAACTTCAATCTCTCCTGCAAGCAAGTACAAAATAAGAATAATCTTTTAGAACGAAAATGCTTTATTTACTTTCCTCGTTAACAGAGGTTGGGGCAAGGAAGAGAGAACAATCCATAATAAAACTCTTGCTCATTTTTATTCAAGAGCCCAAGTTGCCTAGTCTTGTACTTCTAACAATTAACTTTCTGAAAAGTAAACATATCCAGTGTCCGGTGCAATCAACTGAAGTAGGAACTGAAAGTTAAAGATAACCCATTTCACTGTTAATATCAGACAAGAAACAATATGTAACATACTTGAAAGTAGCAAGAATTTATGTATTTGGTCCTAACAATTATTGGAGTCCAATTCATCCTCTGGGGCCTCAAACTGTAACGCCTGAAGAGACAAAGACAGACTGAAAGTGCCTGAATTCTGAAGCACGTTTGCAACTCTATGTTTTATCTCCATTCTGGGGTTGTTTTCAAACATATCTTTCCTCCCAGAAAAGATATTTTAAACATTATGTAAGTTCCCTAAAACCTCAGTACTAAAATGCCGTAACTAGCAGAAATTGCCTGTTCACCCCAAAAAAGCAATCTAAATAACAAAAGAAAATACAGAAGAGAAAACTAAATTGCCAAAGCAAAAACAGAAAGAGAACCAGTAACGTAAATGTGTCTACGGATACAAATACATTGGCTGTGTGCAAACTGCCAAGTCAGCTGTTTTATAACACAGAGAAGGGCTAAGAAAAGTTTTAGGACTACAGAAAGATAAAAGGAAGGTTTTAGAGAAAAGAGCAGTAGGAGCTCTCCCTTCATGTGCAGTTTAAGAGACATAGAAGAAATGAAGCTAAGCCCTTATAAGACTGTTACATGACAGATCAAACTATACCAGTCTCTAAACCAAATAGCCAATCATGCAGAAGCTTGTCCCTAAAGCCGCCACAATTTAATGGTCTTCTGTTTAACAGGGTATCATTGAAGAACAGACTTTCTTTAAAAACACAAAACTGTGAATAAAAAAGTAATTTAAGAGACATCTGATTATGTGTTCCATGGACTAAAAAAAAAGGTGCCAGGTGACGTTTTGGAACTAGAGTATCACAGCACTTGCAGAATGTCAGGTAGCTACACAACACGGCAAAAAGGACTGAACCCCCAAAACAGCTTCAAAACCAGATTTATAAATACTTTTAAAAGGCTTACTCAAATGAGAGTTTGAATGAGGGAACCGTAACAAATTGCTAATGGTGCTAATATATATTTCATATCAGTCTTTTTTACTTTTTAATCTGACTAGGAGATGTATAAATGCAGAGCAGTGCTTATTGTTTTTATAACTATTTCTAAGCCTTCCAGTAGCATTTTAAAAGGCATTAAAAAACTGTAAAGGCAGTTAAATTCATATTTCAAGAAGAATTTCTCAAACAGATTAATGAAAAGCATATACAGAAAGAATTTATAAGTGCTTGCTACTATTAGTAAGGTTTATCTTACTAGTTATATTCTAATTTGAGGCAAAAAGCTTAGAGATATGACCCCTCCCTCACCTTCCCAAACTGATCAAATTCTGTTTTACCTGTATAAGAACAGTTTATTATTACTTTTTGCCTCCTTGTGACTACATCATTGTCAGGCTGAAATCAGAGCCACATACTGAAAATCCAATTATATCAACACCTAATAGACTCTAAAATACAACAACTTACAGAAATGGTGAGAAACAGACTCTGCAAGAGCCCTTATTATATCCCATGTAGCAACCACAGGAGTTTAAATCCTCCTGACAACTGTGTAGTATACATTTTGTGGCAGAGCCATCATCATCTTACACACGCTGCAAGATGCCTGGGTGCTACCAAAATACCTACATTAATTACTGAGGGCCTGAAGACAGAAACCAGTGTTTGATTGATGGGAAAGCACTTGCTGCATATCCTTATTACGCCACATGTACTCCTTCACGCACCGTGATGACACTAGTTGCTTAGTCTCACTGAAACAGCCAACACTTGCACAGAAGAAATAGGAGGCCCTAGAGGGAAGTACAACTAGCGTTTTGAAAGTGAGCCAAATGTGACCATAAGGAAACAATTATAGCACTACTGGTGAAAATTCAAATAGTAAAATGCAAGATATGACAACACTTGTAAAGTTTTCACAACCATGCACTCTATACTGGCATATATAACAGTTGTATTGTAAATTGTTATACAGCAGCAATCCATGGGAAAAGATCATCTTCAAGACTAATAAAGTCGTTTTGCAAAAATATGGTATATTACAAGGGAAAAACAAGATTACTTTTATACTGCAGCATCATAATCTTTTACATACATGCATATATAAACATGAGGGAAAAAGCGTCAGAAGTTTATTACAACTGTAGATACAGAGTACTGTTTATCTTCATTTGGGCATTTGCGAATTTTAAAGATCCAATAAGTTACTATTTCAAGAAAAGCCTCCATCTCCTTTTCAATATAAAATACATAGACACAGTAAATACAGTAATAACTGCAGCCTACCCAGATAGGCAAAAGTAATCTAGCTTTATCCAAGAAATCAAGTGAACACTGCCTGCCTCTTACACCAGCAAAACATTCAAACTGATGAAAATTATTTTTTCTATTTTTTTTTTGCGTTTAAACTATAACTTATGCAATAGCCTCAAGAACTGGTACAGTGCTGCTTCCAGCCCAAAGTTAGCCCAACAGAGTACTGTAAATCAGGATTAAATTGAAAGTATAAATTTGCATATAGAAATAAAGTGAAGCTCACTGATTTTTTTACCACCAATGTTTAGTCCTACCTGGCTTTGCTGGAGTTTTATACATTTGAGAATATACATATCTAATTAGAAGAACAGAAACTAGCACAAAATCAGAACACAACTGATAAGTTCCGTGACAAAAAAAAAAAAAACTCATCTGAAGGAATGCATTAACAGTAAAGAATAATTTTATTGTTGTCTGGCATCTGGGGTATATTATGTAAAACATTAATTTTGGTTTCCTACTTAACCATTTTAAGTAGCCAGTGGGAGGAGGCATTTTTCCTCCCTAAGGAAGCTGCAAAACTTCTTGCAAACCATAGAATGCACAGCCCAAACAGCCATTTCAGTTAGAAAGTATCCTTGTTGCAGAGCCCTAAGTATAATCATTTTGAACAATCCTAACTTCTAATTAGACACTTCCAGGATTAGCTACTATTTGCACATAGTTCCCAGAGAGATTCTGCTCTTCTTTGAAACCAGCATAGCATGTGGATCATTAGAACACCTAAATCAAGTGTAAAACTGAGCCAAGAATTGCTGAGAGTTTAAGATACCACAATAAACTTGATTGCACATGTATGTACTGTTGGTAAAATACCCCCCCCACACACAAAAGGCTAAAAAGTATGTGATTATTGGTTATGCAGAGCATTAGTTTTGGGTCCACAACAGATGCATATTACTGCAGCTGTTGGGAGACCCGAAAGGTTTAGGAGCCTGCAGATTCAACTGCAGAATTACAAATAAAGCACACAAACACACATCAAGAACTCTACCTTCAAACAACGATGAATACAAAGCCATAGACAACAGTTGACTATCAAGCACACACTGAGGAAATGCAAAATTAAATTTAAAAAAAGACAGTATTAGTATGCTAGGCAGTGTTCCCAGCAATTTTGCAAGATCCTTTGTAGGCTTCAGGACAGGAGTGAGTTTTGAAGAGCGAGACAGCAGAAGCAACAGCACCAAAGACATATAGGGGAAGGCTCATCAAAGCATCAGACAAAGTACTGGTAAAACACAACTAAGTTGATCTTTATGTCAAGACTTCAGAATATATTGTCATGTTTCAATCCATTTAGATGAATTGTACTGTTAAAGTGGAACTGCCTTTCCTGCGTGGCTGCTGCGGGTCTACTCCCCCAAAAGCCTCCTAAGAATAATGGCACCAAAGGACAGGCTGCAGCCAGCTCTGTGACTTGATGGAAAAACAGGTCACATCTCTTACAGCACTCTGCTTTCCAAAAGCAGCACTGCTCCTGGTAGAAATGGGAAACCTCTCACTACTTTAGAACAACTAAACTCACACTACACCATACCTCTATACATCAACTGTAATTTAGAAAGAGAAAAAAACTCCTCGAGCATCAGATAATACTAGGAGACTTCCAGAGACTGTAACAATCCTCACCACCTCAAGAACCGTTTCTTAAAAGCACCCAAGCACATTTACTTCTGAACTCCTGTATTGTTTGGAAACTCAAGTCAATTTATCAAAATCTTCCTCTCCTTTATCACAGAATGGTTTGAGTTGGAAGGGACCTTAAAGATCATCTAGTTCCAACGCCCCTGCCATGGCAGGGACACCTCCCACTACACCAAGTTGCTCAAAGGCCCAACCTGGCCTTGAACACTTCCAGGGAAGGGGCTTCCACAGCTGCTCTAGGCAGCCTGTTTTAGCATCTCTCCATCCTCACGGCAAACAGCTTGTTCCTTACATCTAACCTAAATCCACCCTCTTTCACTTTAAAGCCATTATCCCTTGTCCTATCACTACACTCCCTGATAAACAGTCCTTCCCCAGCCTTCCTGTAGCCCCCTATAAGTACTGGAAGGCTGCTGTAAGGTGTCCCCAGAGCTTTCTCTTCAGGCTGCACAGCCCCAAGCCTCTCAGCCTGTCCTCATAAAAGAGGTGCTCCAGACCCCTAATCTTTTTCATGGCCCTCCTCTGGAACTGTTTGAGCAGGTCCCTGTCATTCTGATGTCAGGGGCCCCATAGCTGAAAACAGCACTTCAAGTGGGGTCTCATGAGAGCAGAGTCGAATACCTTATATATCCGAGATATCTTTCTAAAAGAATGCCTGGAGTCACATGGCACAGTAACATAACTTGAAGCTGCTTTGTAATCAAAGAGCTACGGTTTAATTTTCAACAGCACAGGCCATAAACAAAATTGTGAACCAACTCAAGCTTTTCTGAAAGCATACTCAAACTGTTTTTAAATACCTAATTCGAGCAGCCCATAGACACATAATAACAGTTAATCTCGGACTTCAGCAGCTTCTGACACAAGCTTCTAAGAATAACCATGTCCAGCTCCTATCACATCCTTCCACGACATACTGAGACTTTGCTTCACCTGCGGCTGATACACTTGGCTGAAATCTGTCACGTTTAAATAACTTTTATAGACACTATAGAACATGTATAACTTTACATTGCAATTTCGAATGAAAATCAACATCGCATTCGCAACTCCCTTCAAAACCTTTTAAAGTTACAACACCCCCTCAGAGCACCGCCGCGCTTGCAAGGCGGCAGCGCTAACTCCTTCTGGTAGATCTCTCCTGCCTAGTTTGTCCCTGAGGCAACCAACGAGCGGTTTGGCGAAGCTGTCTTACCTCGGAAAAATTAACTGCCAAGGGGATAATTCCTGCCACATAGCAGGCGACCAGCATGGCCAGAGACAGCAGGCAGATGGAGAGGAAGTCATCCATTTCGCCGCTTTCTCTCCGGTCCCTTAAAGTGAAATTCAACAGCAACTTCCCCACTTCGCCCCGCACTCCTTAACCCGTGCAGACACCGAGCTCCCAGGAACGGCTTTCAGCCATGTCTCTCCTGCCCCGGC